GAGAGCGTGTCTTGAGAAGTAGTGAGAAGTAGTGATGCACAATCCTTGGAAAGAAACAAAGCAGTGGATAAACTGTTGAGGCTTACTTTATTCTGGTGCTCCCTTTCTTTCTTTTGGCTCTTGGTCTGGTCAGTGCTAGAACGATTTTTCAGGCAATGCAGATTATTTCCTCTTTTAGTAATGATCAGATTTTCATGCATCAACATTGACCCTCAAATTAATGACAATCATCAATGTAATGATTTTTCTTAGTTGAAACTTTGACGGTGTTTGTCTTCATAAGTTTGCAGTTCTCCTGCAATGTTTTAGACTTGGAAATTTTTTACTTTTTGTTAGACTAATTATAAAACCCTTTGTATTCCTAACACCACTCTTTAGACTTGGTGAGTGAGCTTTATTTTCCTTGTCAAAGCAAGTGATCCAAGCATTCATTTTTCATTTTTTCTGGTTTGTTCCCCTTCTTTGGAATGTATTTTGTTGCCTTGAAGTTGTTAGAATGGTTTAACTCAGCATAAGTCATTATTGATGGAGATGAACAAACATCTGAACCAAGCATATTAACCAAACTATAGTTTGCTGTCGGCAAGCCTGGTAGATTGATTGATTGGTAAAAAAAAAATTGTTGAAAGAGAGCTCTCTGTTCAGTAATTGATAGGGCGGTGCTAAGTTGCCCACAGGAATGATATGTAGAGAATCTTAGAATGCCTCATCATGTTTAATTATTGAACAACTTCCTCTTCTATTATTGGTATGAAGTAGTGGGAAATGTGGCATATTCTTTTTGGACACCTTGCCATTAGTGGAAAGGAAAAAAAAAGATGCTCTCTACACCATAATAACTAATTAAGGGTGTGTAGGTGGAGGCTAGGAAATAGTTAGGATATTGTTAAAGCATCAATAGTTAGAAAAGCATTCCACTTTGGTTGCCTTTTTGGGTTTTATTCTAAGTGTATGAGATCCTCCTTCAAGGGTGAAGGGTGAAGGGTGGTCTGCAAGTTGTGCTAGAAGAGCCTTAGAAGAAACTGGAACATGGAATATATATTTAATATTTATTTTGCCGCAAAGACTGCCTACTTTCTGTGGTTTTATTTTTCTCTTTTGAAAGAAGAGGTCCTCTTTGATGGATCCCTGTTGGCCAGACTACCAATTGGTGGTCTTTTTCCCAGATTAATTTTTTAACACTTCCTCATAGGCCATTATAATGGCTCTCCTTCACCAGTGGGGAGCTGTTAGGTTGGCCAAGTAATGCAGAGCTTATTGTTTGTTTAGTGTCACTCTCCCTTTCATACTTTGAGCAAAGCAGAGAGCCCTCATGATCTTTAATAATTTCTTAGTGTGCTGTGAGACTTTGCTGGGGGAGGAGGCATCCACGTGTCTTCCTTTGCTGTTGTGGGGTTTAATTTATTTCATCTTTGGTCACTCTCTTGCTTGCTCCTGCTTTAGTGTGTGTGTGTGTTGGTATGCAGCATTGGCTATAGGCCCCAATTATATTGGGTGCTTTTGGATGAGAGCAACTTGTATATTGCTTGATAGATGAACTATTGGATGCTAGCGTCGGCTCAATCTGCTCTTGAAAATAAGGTAAATGCATAAATATGTTTTATATGTTTTGTTAGCAAATGGTTTATGGGTTGTGTTTATTTGGTTGGCAAAGGAAGGAGACTTTCTGTCTTTGCAGATTAAAGACTTAAAAAGAGGTTTTAATTTGTTAAATTAGGTTTTTTTTTTAAGTATGTGGTGGTGGGGTCCGGTAAATATGACGAAATCAAAGTGTCAGAGTCTCACAGTTGTTATTAGTTGCCAGTGGATCTTTGCACAGTAGACATCTTGCTGGATAGGTTATGCTTTTGCAAGTTCTGATTTATTTATATATAAAAATGAAAAAACTTTGGAAGCCTTTATATCGCGCATCGATGAATTTTTGAATTAAATTAAGGGAAGGGTCCTTTTTTATGTACTCTCTGAATCTCTCGACAAAATGATCAATGAACACTTGGTCCTTTCCCACGCGTAGTTTATAGGAATATCTTGCTTTTAGTAAATGTTTGAAGGACCAGAGGGCGATTGAATTGAATTGATGGCTTGCTCTGCACTTGAATTGAAACTTTATCGACATGTTTATCGTCTCATAGAGAACACAATGGAAATCATGTCACCGCCGACAGGTGTGTGATATCCCAGATCTAAAATATCGAGGGTTTTGGAAATATCATGGGTCCAAAAACACATAAATATTGGGAAATTATCGATACTGATCAAAATTGAATAAAAATTATGAAAATTGTAAGAAAACCTTGGAATTTTTGATTGAAATTTTAGAGAATGTTTATCCTGATATTTTTTACGATAATTACATGTTTGTGTTCCAAAATATCCCGTTCCTCAAAAAACGATAATATCCTTGATATTTTAGTCCTTAGTGATATGATATCTTGTTTTCCTTGCTAAATGCATGCATTAGCAATGAGTTTTAAGTTCCCACAATTATATACAAAGTTGTGAGATTTTAATGTACAGAGTACTATGTTCTTGTGTCAATTACACATATGTTGTATTGTCATTTGTCAATCTGAATCATTAAGTGGTGAATTCTTGTTTCGATATGTGAGTTAGATTTTTGTCCTTTGGGAATTAGAGAGATATAAATGGATAAAGTGGAAGAGAGAGAACTTATGGAAGTGTGAAAACCGTCTACCTGTTGATTAGTCTAAACAAAATAACATACCAACAAGATACATATATGCTACGGTTGGATTACTTGCATTGCATCGATCGCCATACTATTTCAATCCCTCCTTATGGCATTTCCGCCAAATGTGACCTCAATTCACCACTTGCATAAGGCGTACATAGGTGAGGTTAAATAGGGTTAAATGCTGGGCCAAGATGATGAAGGGTCAAAGCCATCTTCAATATCCAATCAGCCGCCCCCAACATGTTTCCTTGCCCAATTTAGATTCGGCCCAACTTGTAATTTTCAATTCAACCCTGCCTTTAAGAGATGGGGACGGAGGATGTCACTTTCCAAGTAAAAACATCAAAAGAGCTCATCTCTAAGGGAGGAGAAAAACTTAGTTGCAAAATATCACTCTTTTGTTATCTCTATCCAATAATGTTATATCATGTGGAAGTGTTATCATACGTATCATAGCATAATTGACTAGGAATATCGAAATAGTGTTATCTCTATTTCATAGAAGTCTTTCTCCCAAGGGAGATATTAAATCCAACGTAGCACTTTTAGTAGGTAGAAAAAATAGTTGAGACTCACTCCAATCGAAATGTTAAATCCTACTTGGAATAACATTTATCTCCTTTGCTTTTATTTTTGGTTGTTTGACTTTGTTATATTATTTCATTATTTTATTATTATTTTTCAATTAATGTGACTATATTGTAGTAAATTAATAAACAATATGTAATAAAATAATATTTTAATTTGACACATCATGTGGATTGTTAAACTATATTATATGTCAAATTGCCACGTAATTCATTAATTTTAAATTTAATGTTTAATATTTGACATTTCCTTTGGAGCAGAAAAATTTAAATGAAACAGAGATAGCACTATTTTGCTATTTCCGGCCAATCATAATTTGTCATGTGACGTGACATATTGTGATTGATCGAGAATAACAAAATAGTGTTATTTCCGTTTCATATAAGTGTTTCTCCCTCTGGAGATGCTGAGGCTATAAACAATAATAGAGGCATTAAAATGAGCTGCTGTTGGTGACACGTGGACTGCATAACCAAAGCACGCAGAGTCAGTGGGTGGGGCAATCTTGAGTCCAAGTGTAGGATTTGCAGATTTGGTCCCAGAGAAGAAGCATCCGTAAACAGAAAGGCTCTTTGAGATTTTCTAATATTTCTATGCTCAATGAATCGCAGTGCTGCAGCCTGCAGTGCCCAATCCATCAAATTAACTTAATTACGAAAAAAGCTAGTCAGCAGCTGCTCTCGACAACATTAAACAAACCCAAATTATCATAAAAGTTTGTACGGCCAACAAAAGAAGAAGAAGAAGATGAATCTGTGTGTAGTGGCCGATCTCCCACCACACAACAAACACATTTCTATCCAAGCTTTGAATTGACTATTTTGGCTCTGCTTAAACAAAGCAGAAAATTGTTACCCACCCACAAGTGTGTGTGTGTGTGTAATGCGGGTTAATGAACATGTTGGAGTTATTGCCTTCCAGCTGTTTTTATTTTTATTTTTATCCTTTTTCTTTTGTGGTAAGTAAATGAATCTAATGAACCCAAAAACAGGACAAATATTATGATACATATCTTCAAAACACATGCTATGTTACATGTGCATACATGCTCGTAGGGGAAAATACATTGAACAGGCCACCGTCGTTGATGGTCTTCTTTGATTCATGATTCTGATCTTGATTTTGAGGTGGGGTGCTTCCAAAAATGTTGTTTCGACGTGAACCCCATGTGGAATTTATGCCCTCATGCAGACAACAAAATATACTAGATGTTCTCTCCTCCCCCATCATTTTCAAATATAAGTTCTTTGAACTCAATCTTTGGCGGGCGTGTAGCTCTAATTGTTAAGAATATTTATCTATGCATTCAAAGTCCTAAATTTGATTCTTACTTTCCTGATATCTCTTGTATAAACAAATAAAAAAGATCGTGTTCAACAGCCATATGCCACACAAACAAGAACAACCAAGCCATGCAAATAATACAGTATTATACACAAAATTCTGCAAGAGCAACACCAAAATTCTGAAGAGTGACAATTTTGAAAAATGAATAATATAAATTTAACATTTTGCACAATAAAAATCTTCAAAAGGATCACAAGGGGTGCTGGGCTTGCGTAAGCCTTAACCATGGTTAACAAACCCTTAACCCACATAACTTTACACGGTAGTATATATACTAATGAACCCACATGCCATCCTCACGGCAAATTTCCATTTCTAGGCAATTCCACTAGCTATTGTTTCCTACCTTAGTCCCCCATCACTTCAAATAATGAAACTCTTCATGCTCGCCAACCTTTCCATCTTAGTCTTTTGGTTTGGAGCCAATACAATTTTACACCAAACCCTATTCTCAACTGCTCTCACTCTCCCTCTCTTCTTCTTCCTCAACTACTGGCTTGTCCCTGGAGGCTTTGCATGGTCAAATTACCAAAACTCCCCAAAAGGGCCAAAGCTCAGAGGCCCTGTTGGGTGGCCTGTGCTGGGGTTCTTGCCCCATCAAATGGGTTCTCTTGCCCATCAGAAACTGTCCACTATGGCAACTTCTCTCAAGGCAACCAGGCTCATGGCATTCAGCCTAGGCACAACACGTGTCATCATCAGCAGCCATCCTGACACTGCTAGGGAAATCCTAGGAGGGTCTTCTTTTTCTGACCGTCCGATTAAGCAGTCGGCTAAGTTGCTAATGTTTGAGCGTGCCATTGGGTTTGCTCCTTCTGGGACATATTGGCGCCATCTGCGCAGGATAGCAGCGGTCCATATGTTCTCACCACGGAGAATCGGAGGCCTAGAAGCCCTGAGGCAGAAAGTGGCCAATGAAATGATAGTGGAAATTTGGGACGAGATGAAAGAAAATAGGGTTGTGGGATTGAAAGAAATATTGCAAAAGGGTTCTTTGAGTAACATAATTGAGAGTGTTTTTGGCACTAATTATTTTGGTTTAGAAGAAAAGGAGGGTAGTTCAACTTCTAATCTAACGTTAATGTTGCATGATATGGTGAAACAAGGTTATGAGTTGATTTCTAGGTCTAATTTGGAGGATTATTTTCCTCTGAGGTTTTTAGACTTTTATGGTGTGAGGAGAAAGTGTCACAAATTGGCAGCTGAGGTTAGCTGTGTCGTGGGCCAAATTGTGAGGGAGAGAAAAAGAGCAGGAGATTTCAGTGCTGGCAATGACTTTCTGAGTGCCATGCTTGCTTTGCCCCAAGAGGATAAATTAACTGATTCAGACATGGCTGCTGTTTTGTGGGTGAGCAATCTCTCTCTCTCTCTCTCTCTCTTAATTCTTTATTTCTTTCTCAGATTTTGAACCTTTTTATTCTTTATATATACTGTTACATGTATTCTAAAAGCGTTAGGGTTACAATTGATAATGTGATACAAATAAGTTATTATATATAAGTTTTCTCTTTGGGAATCCACATACATATACATATAAATATTATTATTCTCTTATTTTTTTATTCATTTATAGTTTTATAGTTTGACAGATGTTGTTTGACAGATCCCTCTGTAATCTTCTACCTTTAGCTGGGATATTTTTCCCAATAGTTCATATGATTTTTTGACAACCCAAAACATGTCGACTCATTCAGTCACTCTCAGCAACAGGGAAAAGGAGTTTAATAAAACTTTCCAAGATTTTGATGTATAGAATCCTCATGACATAACACCATAGCTATTATAGCTAAGCTTGTCTGTAAGACTGTAACTTGGTATTTGACCACAAGATTCTCAATTATTTTCTAGTAATTAACTTCAACTTAGACGTGACCACAGTAATATCATGGAGACCTGCTCAGGCTAGCTAATGTTATTCTTTTGGGATTATTTAATTAATATTGATTATCCACTCTCAGAAAATCATATCCCGTACGAGTTTCTGGGAATCCATGATCCAGACACTTTGGATCACTAACACCATATTATATTTTCTCCTTTGTGCTCTCCACGTTGATCTCCTTTCTATTTACCATTTTTTCATGGAACTTCAGATTCTTGGTGGACTGGACATGCACAGTATAATAATGTTTTAATTAAATTAACATTTATTATATATATATACACTAAGATTTGTTTGCACTTAGGTTTTTGATATCTTCATTGTCTTTACCTTTGTTTTTTATTTGACATTATCCAGGAAATGATATTTCGAGGAACAGACACGGTTGCTCTACTTCTGGAGTGGATTATGGCGAGGATAGTCTTGCACCCAGACATACAAGCCAAAGCACAGCAGGAGCTGGACACGCACGTCGGGAATAACAGGCACGTGCAAGACTCCGACCTCCCGAACCTGCCTTATCTACAGGCCATAGTCAAGGAAGTTCTCCGAATGCACCCTCCAGGCCCTTTGCTATCATGGGCCCGCCTCGCGGTCCATGATGTCCACGTAGACAAGGTCTTCATCCCAGCTGGCACAACCGCAATGGTTAACATGTGGGCCATAACCCACGATCCGTCCATCTGGAAGGATCCCTCGGAGTTCAGGCCCGAGAGGTTCATCGAGGAGGACGTGTCTATAATGGGCTCGGATCTTAGGCTTGCCCCATTCGGGTCTGGCCGGAGAGTGTGCCCGGGCAAAGCGTTGGGCTTAGCCACCGTCCACTTGTGGCTTGCTAGGCTTTTGCACCAATTCAAGTGGTTTCCAGCAGAGGCGGTGGACCTTTCGGAGTGTTTGAGGCTGTCTCTGGAGATGAAGAAGCCACTCGCATGTCGTGTCGTCCCTCGTGGCATGATGAGCCAATGATGCGAAGCTAGTCTAGATCTGCCTATGATCAATAAGGGTGATATAATATAATATAATATGCATGCAGTGATTAATTAAGATTTGCTAAAATTGTACATTAATATGGTGTGACTAGTAAGGATGTAGGGCTTGGTTTGCATAATGTATTTGTGGGCAGTAAGTGGGGTTAGGAAAAGTACTCTCAAACCTCATCAGAAACTACTCTCTCATCTCATGTACGTAATCTTTGGCTCATGAAAACTGCAAGATATATATAATGTTTTGACTATTTATAAAAGCTATAGCGGGTTGAATTTCTGTAATTCCATCCATCAAAGTTTCAACTTCACCCCTGTATATTCATAAAGCTTCATGTCATATTTTCTTTCTAGTTTGGAAAAAGATGAGATTGGAGCAAATTCAAATATCGATCTATTATGCCGGACCTAGCAGCAAGGGTTTGTAACTAAGCAGGGCATTAAAATGATTGGTTGCTATGAAAACCTTCCCAGGTGAGGCATACAGTGGTCTTTGGCTGTTCACTTTGACATTGGTGGGTGAAGTCGCATAAAGCACGCCCCCTACCATCGGGGTTGGTAGGGTCTCCTAACCACAAAGGTTGGGAAGCAACCAAAAACCAGAAATATCCATATCCATTATTAGCTCCCAGACACATGAATATCAACGTTGGTGCTATGTTGTTAAAAATATTACTATGAAACTTTTAATTATTATTTAAGTCGATGATCAAGTAAATTGGTGCTTCAAACTTATTGTAATCGAAATTAACACAAGTGTCAGACAATATGCTATGCTATACTATTTGACAAAAGAAAGATGATATCCACCTTTTGGTTTTATAATATTAACACTACCTGTAGGGATGGATTTAGAATTTTAAAATAGACTGGGCTAGATTTACAATACAAATAAACTTGACAGTTCGAGTGAATTTCATTGAGAACGAAATATAATAGACCTAATCACAGAAAAATAATGAACGGTACCCCTCAAAATGCATCTAGTATATTATATTTTATAGATATTCATAAACAAAAGAAAAATATAAGGAGGAAGTTATATGGTTAAGACGATTATATTACATGAAAATCGTTATCCAAAATATAGTTATAGTGGAGTGAAGAAAGAGTCTTTAAAATCCATCAAAAACTAAAGAAAGCACCTAGTCATTACATAGAAAAGCAGCACCTAGTATATATATTGAGTTGAGTTAACGTTGTGCTGCTATAAGAATTAATTTGCCCCACCACCACCATTAAGCCAAAGCCTAAGTTAGTGAACAATTATAATTAATGCACAACAATAACATCACCATAATACTGAACGTGCTCATTTTGTTTGTCCTTGTCAATGAATTTGCAATTGGAAGCAAGCACAATACAAGCATGCCACCTTCTGATATCGACCCTTCTCATCATCATTAATTACATACTTTAACCTGCAATAATATTGTTAAAGTTAGTTTATTTATTTTATTAATATGACATTATATTTAATTATGACTAATGGTGCAGCTTGTTTGTGCAAGGAAATATAATGATGAATTATTATTAGTACAGTTTCCAAAAACAGAAAGAAAATTATGGGTTTGTGTCACTATCTCCAAGCTTAACCCCAAAGGCATTCTATTTTTGCTAATTCATCAAAGCGTTTTGAGGTTTTGCATCATTGGTACGGATCGATGACGAACCAAAAATGACTCTTCTTCTCGTTGATATGATGAAAGAAATATTGGAAACCCCACGATACATAATGGCAAAGATATTTTAAGGCATATCCTAAAGTTTTGGCTTTTTTAGATCCCAATCTTTAGCTTTTGTTCAAAGGCAAATCGCTTTAACCCACCTTTCATTCGCACACATATTTACATATTGTATGTATATATATATATATATATATATATATAACACTTATAATTGGCATGTTGATGCTCCACAATTTGAACTGGCCCCCCATCCCCATGTATAGCATTTTTATTAATTAAGCTTGCTTTGTGTAGACGGTAAAGTTGGATGTTTTGAGTTGTCTCTATGATTTGATGTTAATTAAAAGGATTCACTATCGTGCAAGTCACGTAATTTAAGATGAAAACAAAAGGTGAGATTGTTGTAAAGTATTTGGTACGTACGGTGCTAATTGAAATTTCTGATCAAGTCGATTTATATTGTCAATCCATCATCACGATCGACAAAAAAGAGAGTGTTTGCCAGATAAGAAATACAAAAAGAAAAAGAGAAATCGAACCACAACCGACATATATCTCCCCCTACTTACCACTATCCACCCTCTTAGTTCAATATCCTATCAGCATAGGACATGACCTAGCTCAAGACAAAGCCTATCCTAGACCGTCTTTATAATGAATCATGTCCAAGATAGCCTTAAGATTCTAAACAGTCATATGATTGAGAGATGAGTGTTTCTGCTCATGAATAGATATGCTTTTACCGATCCATCCATAAAATGTAGAAGAATGTTGAACTCGGATACACTTTTCTGTAGCATATGTTTTCTCAACAAATTATATTCGTCGAGTTGAGTTGATTTCCAATTCGTATGGGAATAAATTAATCAAGGGTGAAAACAAACCATGCATGCATGCGCGCATGGCACCAGCCGGAACATAAAGGCTAAGCAAGTGGCCAATATGCGCTTCAATAATGACTTCCTGTACAATATTATATTCATTCATCCTATAAACGGAGGAGAGAAAGAGAAACTTATCTGGTACATTTTATCGAACAGATTGCAGGCATGCTGATCCATCCATTAAACATGAAAATTTGTTTAACTTATTTTTTGACAAATCTTCTGAGAAATTACTAGCAGTATCTGAGTGCGTACGTTGGTGTTTTTTTTTTATCCATTGAGAGAAAGACAAAAATAATTGAAGAAAAAAGTTCATCACTATATGTCTGCATGCACGAGTTTGTTTGTGGTCCAACACTAAAATGGGAAAGAATACTATATATATTTATCTTAGGGTAGTGCTATTTATACAGTCACTTACAGTAATTTACGTACTCTTTCAATATATATATATCTTAGAATATACTATATTATATTTCTATGTTTGATCACTTCAAGGCCTGCCAAAGTACAATGTGCGGGGACAGTAGTAATGTCTATGCTTCAAGCGGTAACGTACCATGTACTGGTTTAAATATCGAAACTACCTACTAGTTTAACGTACAACGTACTTGAACGATGTGAAAGTACAACATTGTGCTCAAGAAAAACCATTGATGAAGAAGTGAGGTGAGATTCGGGTCCGAATTCGAAAATACTTGCCTTTAATGGCGGATCCGGGATTTAAAAATTAATTATGTGAAACTTACTTTAAAACTAGACAATACAAGTGAATTTTATTTATAAAAATAAAAAGATACACCTATTTAGAGGAGACATAATGAGCCTTATTCTCAAATATGTATCTCTATACATAAATAAAAGCTTAACAAACAAAAAAGAGAGGAGAGAAGTTACTGCCAAAGCTGCCAAGGAACGCCCGTGCTGCTATGCATAGCCAAAAGGGCTCAGTGCTTATATTTCTTCTATTATTTTCCTTTTTTAAAAAAAAGTTTGAGTGGGCTGGGCTTTGATTTGTGGTTGCTTTTAATTTTTGGGGGTTTCACTAAAACACCCAAAATGGGGGCTGAAATTATAAAAAAAACCCAACACCCAAAACACTTTATAAACACACCCAAAACCCATCATTACACACACTCAAAACCCATTTATAAACACACCCAAAAAATATACAATTGTTGATTTTGGGGTTGAGTTTGGGTGTGTTTCTATGTTTAAATAGTGTTAGGGTTTTTTTATAAATACATGTCTAGGATTGGGTTTATTTATAAATTTGTATTAATTTTTTTTAGGTGTTTGGGTAGGCACGAGCGTATGTTCACATTATCACATGGGTTGAGTAGGAATACGTATGATTACATATAAGTTTTTCTTTTCTTTTCTTTTTTTGTAAAAAAAAATTGAGTAGGCGGCTGCCGACCTTGCCCTTGTTATAGGACCGCTCCTACTTGCCTTCTTCCCTAGAAGTAGGAACTCTTACTCTTTTGCCAATCACAGTTTGAGATATGTTTAGAGAATTTATCTTTGCGTGTTGTTTATGAATTATTTTTGTATATGTGTCAAACTGTGATTTGCAGAAAGTAGGAATCCGAAAGCAGTATCCGTGTGAATTTTATCTGAAAATCCTTGTAATTTTGTTATAACAAACATTCATTTTACTGATATGGAATGAGGTGGGCTGCAGCATAGGTCAGCTCCTCTTTGGTCCATCCTTGTTACCGAAGCCTTAATGGGCCGGCCCATTACTTGAGCAGAACAATTAAATCTGGTATTTGAATTCTTTTATATTACCGAACCCAGCCCAAATTAACTTTGGGCCTCAATTCGTTGGCCCAAAGATGAAAATAAGTCGCTGTTGCATGGGCCACTTTAATTGCATGCCGTGGCAGACACGTGGAATGCTTCATTGCAATTTGAGGGGTAGGTGGAGCATCCGTGCTCCTCGCGATATGAGGTCAAACTTTCAAAATTTCAAAAAGATTCTCTCCACGAGGAAACTTTATAATTTTGTTTTTCCAACAGTCCTCTAACTTTTGAAATTTATACAAGCCACCGAAAAGTTACTGCTGAATTTTGTTATAGCTTTAGTTATTGTTCTTTCTTCTCCTTCTAGCCAATTGGCCTAATCAGACAGTCTTTCTCTTAATTTAGTTGTGATATTTTCTATAAATTTTTTTATAAAATGAAAAAAAATGTTTATAATAAATATAAAATATATCCGATATGTTTGATTAAGAAATAATACGTGATATTTGTTACATTTGCAATAATAATATTATTATATTGTAATTAAAATTAAGAAAATTTTGCATATATACCACTTCAAGTTTTAGACATATGCATTATTATAACCCGAATTTTGTATATTTTTATTTTTATTTTTATGTCTAACTCCTTTAAAGTTTCCGTTAAATTTAAAAACAATTACTTTTATTAAAAAAATATAATTTTAAAAAGAGAAAGAAGAAAAAATGTTAACCTAATTATACCACACTTTCTCCTACCTTCATTTAATATCAACATATGTAGAACCTTAATCTCCCCTCTTTTTCCTATATCTCACCACTTAGAACCCTCTCTACAAACATTCTCTCACCCAATTTGCAAGTGTGTTGAAATTGTAGCTATTCATAGTGTCAAAATTGAAAGGCAAATTCACCGCATACATTATCACCAAATTCTGCAATTCATATTTATAGAATCATATCATGACTTAATATTGAGGATTTGAAGTAGGCTACTTCACAATATCAAGGGCCCCAAAGTAGCTAAATTGAGACATAATCAAAGACCAATTTTTGGGGTTGTGCAATTTGATACGACCAAGAACATTCTTGGTTAGTTATGAGTTTCAAATTAAATTCTTGATAATTAGGCTAACTTTCTTTTTGTTTTTACTTTTTTAAATTATGTTTTTTTTAAAATAATTATTTTTAGTTATAGTGAATGAACGAAAATACCCTTATACTTAATAGAAATTTTAATAGAGTTAGACGTAGGTGGTGAATTGCAACATTCAAGAAAGTTCAGGTAGTTAAAAATAAATTTTAAAAATTCAAGTGGTAATGAGGCACATACTTAAAAGGTCAGGTGATATTTATACAAATTTCCCTAAAATTAATGAGAAAAAGTGTTCCTTGGTTGATAGCTATGACTAATCTGGTTGCCTCTCAATATGAGCCTCTAGCCACATACTCTTCACCAATGAAATTATACTACTATTAACTCATATGAAAAGTCATATTATTTCTTTTTTTGGAATGAGTTTGGTAAATAATAAAAAACAAAAATTCGTATATTCTAAAGGCAATTAAAGATGATCCAAATTGGCATATGTGTCAGGCTAATTGGTCATGTTAATAAATTCATCCATTTGCATTTAAGTTTTGATCCCTCAATATATTTTTGTAAATTATATGATTTTAGAATAATTTAGACTATTGCTTGTATTTAAAAATAAAATAAAAATAAAATTATTTGTGGGAATGATAGGGCCACAATTGAATATCCAAAGACTGTGGGTCAAGTTTAGAAATTCCGGAACAAGATGTGTCTCTGTAAATGAAATTAAGACAAATATATCTGGAAAGAAAATGGCTCCCTCTTCAAAATTTCAGCAAGAAAGCAAAAAACAAAGTGAACCAAGAAGCTCGATCTTCACCGTTCAGAACAAAAAATATACCACGTGTCAATGATCTTGGAGCGAGTATGACCCAACACCCGCATCGACGAGTCCAGAAGTCTTTATTAGACACCCTCGTAAGAAAGTCATCGAAAGATCAAAAAAATTCAAAAATTCAGAGAAAATTTGGGGATAGTTATTTATCTTCTCATCCTTCTGTTCAGACAAAATAAAATTTTCGATCCCTCCGAATTTTCCCTCTCTTTTCAGTACGCCCTTGGAGGGAAAACCTTCCAAATCCAAAAGCTCCTGTTTCAGCCGGTAAAACAAACTTAGGGTTTTCATATATGCTCAAGCTTCAATCACCACGATCTTTTTCATTTTTCTCTTTCCCGACTCACTGTTGGGGTTCGGGAATAGTGATTTCCGCTGCTGGTTTCTCATCTTCCAGCTTGATTTTAACTCAGGTATGGATAGTTGAGTTCAACTATGCTTTTGTTTTAGCTTGAGTTGTAGCTTTTGGTTGTTAAGGTGTATTTTTGGAGCTAAATTTTAGGGTTTGGTTGGTTATTTTGGCGAGCGTGGGTGTAATTTATGGACTTGATGTTTTGCATGGTCGAATTGTGGCCAAAGTTGTGTTATGTGCTTGATAATTGAAGTGGGTTAATTGATTTGATGTAGTTATGGGTGGTTTTATGCTTCAGTTGGTGATTTTGATAATGCGTTTCTAGGGTTTAAGTTTTACTTGGAGTTGGAACTGATAATTAATAGCTTTTTTCCCCTATGTAATTGAGCTTAGTTTGGGGGCACTCTGGCTGCTGATTAATTATTCGGTTTCTCCGAGTGTTGTCCAACACCGTTGAAGTTTTCTTTTAATAATGTATGTATGTATGTTGCATTAGATGTAGAGACTTTGGAAGACTACTGTTTTCATTTGTCCCAAGTTTGCAAATGTGATCTATCAAAATTATAAATAGAAGTTGATTGGCCTATACACTATAGGAAGATTCATTCTTTAGCTGATTTCTGAATTTAAATTGTTTTTTTTAAAAAAGCCAAATCGGTACTTGCAGCCTTCTCAAAATTAAGTAGTTTAATCCAAGGTCAAAATGCAAACAAAGAAGAAAAGTTCTGGAAGAACTGCTGCTAGAGACCATGCTAGTCCCAGGGTTACAAGAGCTCAGAAGAAAGCCTATGAAAATGTGCAACTTGTGGAAAAGAAGGTTGCAGATCTAATTACATCTTCAACAAGAAAGCAGAGAGTTGGTATGGTACCTTCTTACTGGTTTAAACAAGAAAAGTTCCTCATGCTTGTATAGAGTACCTTACTGTAGTATTGACTTCTTGTGTTTTTCATGTCTGGTTCTATTAGTATCATAACGGCAAGTCGGTAAATTGTCGGTTGGTTTTTGTGGTTTTTCGGTTTAAAATGCCACCCCTACTCTTTCTTGTCTTTATATTTTTGTTTTTAAGATTCTTCCTGTATGATTATTTTCTTTTATCATGTGTGATTTACTTAGTTATGCTTCTAATATTATTGAATTTTGCATCAACACTTACCAGGTGATATACTAAACATTAAGAAATTTTTGTTTAAAACTTCTAACCTTATATTTTTAGAACATGTCCAGTTACTGACTTTAACTGTCATCTTCCTATCACAACTTTCAGGTGGCAATCATAAAAAGAATGGGGAGCCTGTTACCGCAACCATTTCAACTATGAATTATGACTCGATGCGTGATGAGACTGCTGAGACTTGTTTGGAGCATGATGCTTTAAGTGATGATTGCATAGAGAATAAGGTAATTAACTAGCTATGCCATGCTCAGCTTAGTTATGTTGTCTATAAAACCAATAACGTGTTATATGCAATATGTTATACCTCGCCCTCCTCCTAGAATAAAAATTAAGAAAAAAAAAAAAAAACAGAAAAGAAACAGATCGTTGCCTGAGCATTTAGTGTTGAAAGATTTCTCAAGTTGTACAAATCTTACTGCAGGGTTGTAAAGAGGAAACTGCTGATTGCATGCTGGGAACTATATTTTCTCCTTCCTTTCACATATCTAAGCACACCAACGGGGAACCTGCTAATGAAGGTAGATGAACAAAATAATATTATTTATTTATTTATTTTACATTGATGGTGATGTAATTGTGTTTCTTTCCTTCTCCTCTATTAATGGTTAGAAATATGTCATCTAGTAGTGTTTTGGATTTTTCAAGATTGTCTATGATCTTTACCGTTTTTCTTTTTCCTAGTTGATTTTGTTAAATTCTTTAGAAATGAAGACCACAATTTCCATCAAGAATGTGAAATAAAGTACTCGAGAGTTGATGTGCTGAATGGTCATGTTGTTCAAGGGACTTCCGAATCCTTGGTTAGAGATGAGAAGAGTTACTATGAGAACACATTATCTTCAGTAAATATAACATATCCTGGTAATACAAATGAAATCAAACACAAATCTATGTAGCAAAATAGAATGCACAAACCCCTGTGATATGTGGCATAAATAACGTGTACTCTTGTTGTAATGCAGTTGTGGAAGCAGCCAGTATTTCTTCTGAAGTCTCAGCCATATATCTTGCTATGAAAAATTCTAAGTTGGAATGTGTAGATGAGCATGGGCAAGAGCCCATGTCAACTGATTTATACACAGATGATGACGAGTTTGACGAGATTGATGACTTTGATCCGTACTTATTCATCAAGAACTTACCTGATTTGTCATCTGTTGTCCCAACTTTTCGGCCAATGCTTCTGCCTAAACAGACACGGAGTTGCCCTCCTACCAGTCTTGTTTTGGACTTGGATGGTGAGAGTAATGGAAAATTGTAGTATCAGGTTTTCTGTATAATTATTTGCATAACTCTCGACATAGGAAAGCTTTTGAACTACCCCTCTCATTGTTCGTGGAACTAACTGTTGATATGTGATAGGATGTGCATTAAGCTAGTTCTTTGTTCCTTTTGTTTTGCCAAAATAACCTGGGTGTGTCCGGAGACAGTAATTTCCTTGTAGCATGTTTTGCTTTGGTCATCATTATGATGAGAATCAAAATTGAACATATGTCAATAATATTTCAGTCATTTTCCATTTTTCACCAGTCGTTTTAATAAATTTACTAATGGAGTGAACGTGAGCCAGTAGTCTTCTCCATTTGAACTGTCATTCCCTAATAATTGTAGCTATATTTGGTAGGAATTAGCATCAGTGCAGGAGCATCTTCTCCTAGCTTTTTGTATTCTGACAAAATATCTAATTAAACTGTTGTCAAATATTTTTCTTTTCAATTTTTTCCTTGTAAAGGGTGTCAAATGTGCATGTTTTTTTGGGAGATTTGCATGCATTGGTTTTGTCTCATTAAATTCTTTATATGGTACAACATTGAACATGCAGTCCTTTATTACTATCTGCTCTTGTTTTCTGAGGTATTGACTGAACTATTGGTTAGACTTGCATGCTGAGACTGGTTTTGATCTGGCAGAAACTTTGGTACACTCCACACTAGAACCTTGTGATGATGCAGACTTCACTTTTCCTGTAAATTTTAATCTCCAGCAGCACACAGTATACGTCCGATGCCGTCCTCATCTCAGAGATTTTCTGGACAGAGTTTCCACTCTTTTTGAGATCATAATATTTACAGCTAGTCAAAGTATTTATGCAGAGCAGCTTCTAAATGTGCTGGACCCAAAAAGGAAGATATTTCGCCATCGTGTTTTTCGTGATTCCTGTGTTTTTGTGGAGGGGAATTACCTCAAAGATTTGTCAGTTCTTGGTCGTGATTTGTCACGTGTTATCATAGTTGACAACTCTCCACAGGTATACTATTCCCAACTTTCCTGCACTCCCCAAATAGCTGTCATGACTTGTGTGCACTAACCCTTACCCTTGAGGGTGATCAATTTAATATAATGTGTCTAAATGGATATTTTGGCATTTGGCATAGTTCTTAGAGTATCTTTGGTTGTCCTTAGATCAGTGAGCTTCTGGATAAAAGTGAGTTGAAGGAAACTCTTTATAGTGTTATGTTGAAATTCATAGGTCCAAGATTTTTCGAGTCAATGGCTTATCTTTCAACCATTCACGTGTATCATTAATATGTTCCTTTGCCTGCTTTGGAATTGAAGTACAGTCAGTCCTTTCCAAGATCTTGATTAAGGCATGCTTAGACCAGTGTTAATGAGATAGCTGAGAGTTTGTCCTTTCTTCAGAAGTATTGACTCCGTTCTCTTTAGATATAACAATTTTGTACACTGGCTTTCTTTCAGGCATTTGGATTCCAAGTAGACAATGGAATACCAATTGAGAGCTGGTTTGATGATCGTTCTGATAAAGAATTACTTTTATTACTTCCTTTTTTGGAGAGCTTGGTTGGAGTAGAAGATGTTCGGCCACTAATTGCAAACAAATTCAACCTTAGGGAGAGAGTAGCTGCTGCTGTTTATCCTCTGAACTCATGTAGAGGTGATCCTTTTGAAAGGTGAGCCTTCGATGTGAATGACCGGTTTTACGGTGTGAAAGCTATTCTGAGTGTTTTCCTGTATTTTTAGATTTGCTACTGGAAACAATGTTCTGTTGCGAATTATGTGCTTTCATTGAGAAAGACGATCTGATCTGGGTGTAACATGGGTCAAATACAAGGAAGACACATAAACTCTTGATAAAAAAAATTAGCCTACAAATAAAGATTCCGGATAATTTAAAAGTTATATACAAATTTGAAGTGTTAGGAGGTGGAATATTGTTCTTTGTTGAAGAAATCTCATTTTGTCAAAAGAATTGAAGGCTTTGTTGTTATCAGTATCTTTTGTTAGTATTCATTGTTGAATGTTAATAGATGAAGCCAAGCTTCCCTAGCAACATAAAAACGTGTGTTTTTGTTGAGTTGAGATATTAAATTAAACCCAAAAAAAGAGAGAATTTGCGAGAAGTGTTATTCAGTTGATGGTCCAGTCAGTTAATGGAAATTAAGAGCCGTAGTGACATTAGATCATGAACGTTTCACGATGCTGCCATGTTCCCGATTTCGAGTGCCACAACACTGGCCTCCAACAACTTCAGTTTCCTTTACAGTTTATATACAACATTCGCACGCGCATAAACCCAAAGAGAAGAGAAACATTTCTCTTCTAACTTTGCTCGGAAAAGCCACCCTATACCGGAGTTAAAATGACGACGTTGAATGTCTTAACAGCAAGACTTTCAACCATATGTTCCATGAGAACTGCAAAACCGTGTAGATCCTCATCCTTCGTTATGGGTCCTCATTCGCATGGCTCTCTATCGAGGAACAGTTATAAAGCATTAGGGCTGAAAGCTTCTTCCTCCTCCTGTGTATCAGCAATGGCAGTTTACAAAGTGAAGCTGTTGGGGCCAAATGGTGAGGAGGCTGAATTTGATGCCCCTAAAGATGTTCACATTCTGGACTCAGCTGAAAGCGCAGGGCTGAAGTTGCCTCACTTGTGCAGGTCAGGGGCATGCTCTACTTGTACCGGGCTCATGGTTTCGGGGTCGGTGGATCAATCGGAGGGAGTGTTCCTAGATGAGATGCAGATGGAGAAAGGGTACGTGGCCACCTGCGTCTCATACCCAACATCAGATTGTGTTATTCACACCCACAAAGAAAGCGATCTCCACTGACTGAACTGCAATGAGCAGAGGAAGAAGAGTAGTATATTTTTCTCTCTGCATATTTCAAATGATTATAGCAACAACAAAAATGATTGTAATTACCATTAAAAAAAAAGGTAGGTTTAATTTGACACAAAGTTGAAGCTCTCTCCTCTTTATGTGTTTTGATTTTAAGTCATTGAACGACAGGGGCGGTTCTGTGCACAGGGCAGGTTGGGTGTCCGCCCAGCCCAAATAAAATAAAAAATAATCCAACATATGTTTATAAGTCCAGTCCAAAATTAAAAAAATTAAAAGCAAATTCTACACACATGCTGGCCATTCAAGTGGTCCCGTATCTTCTTTCTCATCTTTTGGCTATGTGACATCAGCTTGTTTCTCTCTCTCTTAGTTACCCAACATCAGTAGCTTCTTTCTCCCTCTATTTTTTTTATATATCTTTAATATAGTTTTAATTTAAAATTGAGTATTATAGGATTTATTTAGGGAAAAGAGAGTTTGCTAATGCATCTATAATTGAGGAATTTAAGAGTTTTAATCCTCGCATGGTTAAATTTTATATTTCAAATAGTGTTGTTTTATTTTGTATTGCATTTACTTTTGGTTTAGTTTTAGTTTTTGCATTTGTTAAATTTTTATTTATGGATAGAGATGCATTTGAGGGTAAGGCTTCATTATGTCTTCACTGACTATGTGTATATTTTTATATTTATTAATGAAATTCATTCGTACTGTCGAATTTAGTATGTAAGTTTTGTCTAATTAGTTTTCGAATCCTGAAACCAACATTGCTGAATGAAAACCTAGTTAGTAGGCTCGCTTATCATACACTAAGTACATATTTTTGAAAAATACTCCTCCATACCCTTCTGAATTTTCCATATATATATATATATATATATGTCACGAGTAATACACATTTTTTCCGAATATTTTGAAATCATACACATTATTCGTGTCTTTTATTTGTAGTTCCATGTATGATTTTTTTTTTTTTTTTAAAAAAAAGACTACAAATAAGGTAAAAGAGAGAGCTTTGTAATTAAGGTAAAAGAGACGATTTTTTATTATTTTTTTATTTTTATCAAACTAGAAAAAATTGCAACATGCAAATTATTTTCAATTAAAATGAACTTATTTATTTCATTAAAATTCGAATCCGACAAGGAAACAATGCGAGGCCCAGTTAAGATGGAGTTAAATTAATTAACGTGTGATTACGGAGGCAACTAAACAGGTGTTACCGTTGGCATTGGCGCCCTAATTGTCAGATTGCAACTGATTAGTGACGAACGTAACAACTCCGATTTTCGTTTTGGGGCACATGTACTGCTCCAACCGACTCTCTCAAGCTCAACGCATTTCGCATGCTCTCTGTAAACCCCTATCGCAAGTAACTTGTAAATTTTCACAGCCTCCCGCCTCTTTCCTCATTTGTTTCATTTCAAATTTTCGTCAAGCAAGCCCCTTATATAAGCAAACGCATAGCTCTCATTCTCTCATTCTCTCATTCTCTCATTCTCTCACTCTCTCACTCTCTCACTCTCTCTGATTTTCAATTTTCTCTGAGAACGCTGAAACAATGGTGAGAGAAATATCTCTGAGCTATACATTTCTACTTGATGGTCTTCGTCAATATGCTCCTACCGACTGTTACAATCACTCTTAATCTCACTGCAACATCTTCGTTTTCCTCAGGTTGTCGCACAGAAAGTGAAGGAAGCGGAGATTACCGAGCAGGACTCGCTTCTTCTGGTAACCTTCGATCGCTCATCAATTAGGAAATAGATCGCAGTGATAGAAATCTGAATTGTTTGAAATTCTTCTGAAGTTTCGAGCTGATACTATTTCATTTATGCAAATCTGATCTGTTTTCGTTCAATTTTCGTTTACCTTCGTTTAAATCTCTCTCTCTCTCTCCCCCCTGTTGAAGTTTGACATGAATTTTTGCTAAATTTTGAAAAATTTCAGTTCGAATTGTTCAAATATAAATCGTATCTGAAACAGACTGTGATGATATAAGCTTTGACGAATACTTGATGATTCGCAAATGGATCTGAAGCTAACTGTTATCGTTCCAGAAATTTTAAGCACATAGTCTTATGTCGTAGCATAAGCATATTTTTGGAAGCGCGTTAAAATTATATAATCTTAATCGTTTTACTATGAATTAAATTTTCTGCTACTGTGATGACGAAATTCTCAATAGTTATATGAATTGATTCTGATTATTCTATTTCATTTGATTTGAGCTCAGACGAGGAACCTGCTTCGGATTGCTATATTCAATATTAGTTACATCAGAGGCCTCTTCCCGGAGAAGTATTTCAATGATAAGTCTGTTCCAGCTTTAGGTAAATTTTGTTTGATAATCAGAATTTATTTTGCTATAATTTTAACTGTCGGTTGGTGATTTTCTTTGAAATCTTGACATCTTCATCAGAGATGAAGATCAAAAAGCTAATGCCAATGGATGCAGAGTCTCGCAGACTTATTGATTGGATGGAGAAAGGTACAGATTCTTGAACTCACTGATTATTAATTTCTTAATTTTTATCTTAGCTCACTGGTTTGAAATTTTGAATGAGGTTCCGGTTTTAATTTTCTTGTTTGGTTATGAATTTATGTTTCTTTTTGTAGGTGTATACGATGCATTGCAGAAGAAGTACCTGAAAACGCTTTTGTTCTGCGTGTGCGAAACAATTGAAGGGCCAATGATTGAGGAATATACGTGTAAGGCTATAGCAAATGTTAATCATCAAAGTCACTTGATAAAATCTGATTAATTAAACCTAAGCCAGAAACGTAGATTGGTAAAATTTGATAATGTTCAATGCTGTTTGAATTTAGAGTTGGAATTTTTGCGCCTATACATTTTTTTTGGCCTCATTTCCAAAGAATTGATTTATTCTATATGGCCTTGACCTGCAGTTTCTTTCAGTTATTCAAATTCTGAAAGTCAGGAGGTTTCGATGAATATCAGTCGCTCTGGGAACAAGAAAGAGGGTGGAACATTCAAGTGTAACTCCACTGCAGAAATTACTCCCAACCAGATGAGGTGACTTTGATGAAAACTAGTTCCAGATTTTATTCTCATCCTGTTCTTGTTTGGCCAATTTCTGAATTTGTGGAATACGTTAATAATGTCCAGGAGTTCTGCTTGTAAAATGGTCCGCACACTGGTTCAACTGATGAGAACTCTGGATAGGATGCCCGAAGAGGTAAAGATAAAATTGGTTTTTTTAGCCATTATGCAATGTTCTAGAGACTTCATCTGTATTGGTTTCACAACAAACTGTTTGATTTTGTTTCTGTTCCAGCGGACCATACTGATGAAACTCCTGTACTATGATGATGTGACGGTACGCCCTTTTAAATTGCTTTCTCCTAATTCAGTTTCATCTGTTGTTTATTACTTTCTTTTTATTTGTGAAAAGATTACCACAATTATCTGGCATTGCAGCCAGCAGAGTATGAGCCTCCATTCTTCAGAACCTGCTCAGAGGAAGAAGCTCGTAATTCGTGGACCAAAAATCCTTTGAAAATGGAGGTTGGGAATGTAAACAGTAAGCATCTTGTATTAGCTTTGAAGGTAAGGAATTGTGATTTTCTTTGCAATTGCTGGATATTCAAATGTACGATTCATATGGCAGAGTAAGTTGGTGTTACTTGTTATTTATACAGGTAAAGAGCGTCCTTGATCCTTGTGAGGATGAAAATGATGATATTCAAGATGATGAAGTGAGTTTAGGAGCTGATTCCATGCAAAGGGATGATTCCTCTGAATCTGACAGTGAGGTAACCTGATCTTATTAACACATTTTATATCTTCTTTGGATTTAGAGCTTCAAATGAGCTTAAAGATGGTATTTGATTTCAGTATTTTCTTCAGAAAATAATTTGCACAGGAAACATGATTTATGTTGTCTTTCAGGTTAACCAGTCACAAGAGGATCGATATATAGTTGCGCCTGTAGGTGGTGAGGGTTCTGCATCTTTTGTATAGTATAGCTTTTTACTGTAATTCCACTTGCTTAGCTGTTGGTCTGAGTTTGTGGAAGTAACAATGGTTCTTTTGTCAGATAAGCAACAACCACAGGAAGATAGCAGTGCACCACAAGAAGATAACAGCATGGTTGATGAAGGTAATAAGACAATGACACATTTCCAAGTTAGCAGACCAATTTTCACATAACAATGAGAGTGAGAGTTGAATTTGAACTGGAAAACTGAGCTGACTGATTAGCTATTTCTGGCTGAGGCTATTTCCTGCACAGCTATATTAGGCTAATCATGTTTTTTATGCTTTGTAGATGACACTCAGGATTCAGTGGAAGATGACCAACAATCGTCCCGGATAAAGGACTGGATCAGTAGTCGCCACACTGACACTGTTGAACTTACTGATGTTCTCTCGAATTTTCCGGACATTTCAGTGGTAAGTATTTCAACAGTTCAATTATCTGCTCGAAGAACAACTGTGCCAAAAATGATTGTTGGTAAAATTGGAAAGACAGCAGAAGTGTTACTTTCGCATGCTCTTTACCCTTTTAGTATTATGTTAGCATATAATCCACTGACTCAATCTCTGCATTATTAATATGCTGCAGGTTCTGACTGAAGGTAAACTCAAGAATACACTTAGAGCTGCCGGTTTGCGTTCTCACTGATTTTAGGAGGTTTATAACAATATTAACTACTTTTCAATCCTTTTTGGCTGGATTACAGAAATTATGTACAATCTTGTTAAGGAAGGTGTTCTATCAAAAACTGGAGGGGACACTTACACTATTAACGGGCAGAAGGTTGCTTTAGTTTTTTCTCCTTATTATTTCAGTTTTGAGTCCATATTTTCTTGCTTTTAAGTCTCAGTCTTTTTCCTGGTGGCAATTTTACATTGCAGAAGTCTGATTATGAGTTCACTCTGGTGAAAGAAGAAATGGATGGTCAAATAGTCCCAGTTGCTGACAAGACACCAAAGGTTAATGATCTCATGTACATGAAGGTAATTCCAATTCCTGTCTTGACATGACGTATTAGGATTTTGAAAAACTGCTGCTAATTCATAAAATTATTTGTAACACCCAACAACTTTCCTGTGGTCCTAAGCTCATTAAAACCAAGATTGTGCAGGGTTCTCAATTTTATCTTACCTGACTCTATTGTCATTTGTCTATCTCAGGCGCTGTATCATGCAGAACAAGCTTGGAGGGGAAGCAAATCAGACTACTGTCCGCAAGTTCATTGATAAAATGACACGGGAAGGTTTTGTTGAAGCCAAAGGCAACCGAAGGCTAGGTGTGTGCAGTAGTTGCTGCCAGCTTAAAAGCTTTGTACTTAGCATATACTTATGCATGATAAAATTAGGTCCAGCTTACTATTGTCATTTGTTTTCTAAACCAGGAAAGCGTGTGATCCATTCTGATACTACCCAGAAAAAGCTGACTGAAGTCAAGAAAGCTCTGAATATTGATGCAATGGTATATTTGAAAACATGTTTCCGCTTCATTTTTCAGATAGTCCATTTATTTCGGTGACAATTATTTTTTTGTTTTCTGTTTACATTATTTCTTTGATTCTTTACATTGACAGGATGTGGACAATTTTGAACCAAATAACAAGTCCAAACATCTAGACCATACTATGGGTAAAAGAACATTAGATTTTTTTCCATGCATAAAAATGAATTTAAGGCTCTTGTTTCTTTCTTGGGATTTAGCTCGTTGCACCTTGAAACTGCTTTTGTTATCAGGAAGCAATTACCGGGACACGTCCACATGCGGTGCCCTCCATTCCATTGGATCAGATCTCACACGCATGAGAATAAGATCTAACGGTCATCAAAATAGTCCCATGAGGAGTGAGCAGACTACTTCAAAGACAAAGGACCATGCAAACACTCCAACAAGCAGGGCTCAGGTTAGTCTAGTAGTGTAGCTTTCCACCCTTTCAAATTTCCAATTCATGTTATTTTTCTCTTGAAATTTTAACTGTTTAAAATTGAATTTTGTTTCTGAACTTTGCAGCCTGTGACATCAAGAGAGAGCTTTGTGCCAGGCAATGAGAACGTCAGAGCAAATGGCAACTCCGATCACTGTGATGAAGGGGAGAGAGTGATATGCAGTAGCAGGTCCACCCAAGACAAGCGTTCCAGGAAAACAAGCACGGTGCGTATGATTCGAACACCCCTAACCGTAGAATGCAGTTTGCTGTAAATTTCATCATCAGCACAATGGCTAGTAAAAATCAATGCCATGTTTCTAGTATCTTGTACTTATCTTTGCCCTCTTCTGCGCAGGTCAAGGAGCCTATTCTCCAGTACACGAAGCGCCAGAAATCCCAAGCCGTCTGAAAATTTGCAGCATTTGCTGTCTGCTGGACTGGATTTTCCCATACTTGTGGAATTTTAAGATGTAAATTTTAATGGGGACAACTGTTAGAAGTGTCTAATGTGGCATACTGGGGAATGCTTTTGCCCATATACTAAGCATTTTATCAACCAAGGCTTAAGGATGATGATGATGATTGAGTAGATGGCAGATGTCATGTCATCATAGTGGTGCTGTGCGTTTTGGCGTTAGTCTTTTTTATTATTATGTTATCGTCAACAGCAAAAAGGATAGGATATGGTTTTAGGAAGGGCAGCATTGTTTGGATGCACTTGCTTTATGCTTTAAAGTTTAAACAACGGCTACCGACGGTGCGTGGTTGAACAACACACTTCTTTTCTTTTATTCTATCTCCATCAGCTGAAAGAAAGTAACGAAGTTGATGGGGAATTTAAGATAAGTTGACGTTCAATATACCAATTTTTATTATGGGTTACAACTATCATAGCCGCCTCTGCCACTAAGGCGATGATCCAAAACAAAACAAAGTTAATAACACATAAGACAAACATATATAGATCCAAAACAAAAAAGTTAATATAATAAGCGATGATTTTCTTCATAGTACAAAAAATATTCATGCATGTCCACGTGTATGACAAATAGATCAATTGTGGCCTTGATGGTTATGTTGGGTTAGTGCGGTTTATTTGGATTTATATAAAGCAAAAAATAAAAAATTGTGAAATATTCAAAATATCAAAAAATGTCATTTTTAAATTCAAATATTAAGAATTAAAATTATTATTAAATAAAAATAATATGATAAATTTACATTATTTTCATATTAAAAAAAGTTAATATTAAAAGAAAAATCAAATAATGAATCATATTTTTATAGAACACAATTATCCATTATCTTTTTTAATTCTAAAATAAATTTAAATTTTTTTGAAAAAAGCCTCTTACATACACGGAAGCTCGTGCAGAGAGACTTGTAATTATATAGCATAACTTTTGTTTATTTTATTTTTATTTTTAAAATATTAATTTATTACCTTTTTGAAATTGATACTTTAGATATTGATGTTGTTAATCGTACTGCTGCTGAGGCTTATCTAATTTTCTTTCATTAAAAAATAGATCAATTGGCGCGGGCGAGGAGAACAGAGTTAAAGCAAAGCCCATTCGAGCCCGGAATCTATCCGAAACAGAGATCAGGGCCCACATGCGTTATCGTGGGCCCCACAGAAGCATTTCACGCCTCACACTGACTGAATGGCACGAAGCTACTGTGCTGGTGTCGACAAACCCGTATCGAGTCGTCAGGTCTTTTCCCGAAACTTCCACAAACCTCGCGGTTTTTGATTCTGAGCTGATCAAATATGAGGGCCCAGTTAAGCAAAGCAGATTCCATATCCACCGTCGATCGCACGAACGTATAAGGTTATTTCGTAACTCTGCCGCTATAAATAATTCCTCGCACCGAAAACCACTTCTTATCTCGGATTGAACCAAACAAAAAGCTTCCCGATCTTGAAAAGCCCTTGTTATTCGTGATCTCACTTGCAAAGAGAAAACAATGGCCACCGCCAGCAGCGAGGTAATTGAGTTTCGAGTCTCCTACTTCTTCATTTTTGAATTTCTTGTTTGGCACAACTCTCTGTTTGTTTGCTTGGATCTTAAGCAACTTTTTGTTTTTCTGAATTTTTGTTGTTGCAGAAAGGGATAGAGAACAACAAGGAGAAAGAGTTGAAGCATCTAGGGATTTTTAGGGTTGCGGCGATTCACACTCTGGTGTGCGTGTCGAATCTGTACGATTACGCGAAGCAGAACTCCGGGCCTCTGAGATCGACGGTTGGGACTGTGGAGGGTGCTGTCACCGCCGTTGTTGGTCCTGTTTACCGGAAATTCAAGGGCGTCCCTGACGATGTCCTTGCTTTTCTCGACACCAAGGTACTCTGTCATTTTCCTTTCTAATTACAATGAAATGTAATAAAATTGTTGAGATTTGAATTAATTTGATGGAAACGAGCAATTGATTTGTTTTGTTTTAGTTTACCTGAATGACATATTCATGATGATGATAATCAGTAATTGTTTACAAATTTTTTGGGTTTTTTTCCTGATGCGGTGAATTGATAAGCTAAGTTGTCAAGGTTGCTTTCAAATTCTTCTACTTGTTGCCCTCGGATTAGATTAAAAAGATGATGTGTTTTTGGGAAATAGATGTTTGTGTCGGATCAAAGTAAAAGTTATGGTCCTGCTGATATCCTTTGTGAATCGATGTTAAGAGTGATATCTGGCTGGTTTAAACACATGTTTGTGCTTTTGCTTGTGCCCGCGGTTTTTACTTGTGGTGTGGTGTTTTGTGTCTGGATTTGTGCCCTGATTCTTACTGGCCCCGTGGTATCTATTGTAATGAGACTGATAGAGTAGATCATTCAAGGACCATTGCCGAACTTTCGTGGATAATTGATGCTTCTGACCCATTATCTTTTTGGTAACAAACACTTAATGATTCTAGTACCTTTGGTTAAGGAGTCATAGGTTACATGTTCTACAGTTTCTTTTATGGTAGCTCGTGTGTTCTGTGCCCTTGTGCTGTCTTACATTCATAAATAATCGATTTTGATGAAGGGTTCATAGATGTCCATAGGTATGGGTAAGTTTTTATTTTTTTTAAAAGCAATTGACATATTCTGAAAATATTAATCGTTTTGTTTATTTATTTTCACAGGTAGATCAAGCCGCAGGCAAGTTTGATAAGCATGCTCCTCCATTGGCTAAGCAGGTTGCGAGCCAAGCACATGTTTTGATCCAAAAAACAGTGGAAAAAGGCCAGAAGTTCGTAAAAGAGGCTCAAACTGGGGGTCCGCGCTCAGCAATTCATTATGCAGCTACAGAATATAAGCAGTTTGTCCTAAACCAATCTGTGAAGTTGTGGGTTGGACTGAACCAGTATCCTTCCATCCACAAAGTGGCAGAGAAGGCTGCACCAACTGCTGCCCACTGGTCCGACAAATATAACCACACCGTAAAGGACTTCACTCGTAAGGGTTATGCCATCTTCGGCTATTTACCCTTGGTTCCGATTGATGAGATATCCAAAGCAGTCGAGAAGGGTGAGGCAAAGAAGAAAGAAGATGCGGCTGTGCATGTTGAGCATTCCTCTGATTCAGATTGAATGAGTCTCTGCCTCAGGCTGTTACAATCTTTTGTTGGCTTCTACAAGTCGTTTGGTATTTAAGAAATTTAATATAGGGTTCGTGGGTGAAGAAATGTTGATCTACTTAGCTTAGCTAGCAACTATGTAAATGATTTCTAGACCCTCTAAACTTTTTTCGAGTTATGAAATGGTTTAGCCAACAGTGGCATGCACGTGTCTGGATATCGGCTCTCTAGTTCCGGTGCATATTAAGACCTTCTTGGATAGCTTCTTCAATGTCTGTTGGAAGTTTCTTTAACAAAGTAGATTGCCCTGTTGCATACTAGGTTTAATATGATGAAAAATGAGTGCGTTTGCATGTGCGGATGAGTGGCCTGTGGAACTAAAAATGAAAAGCAGTATTTTTTGACGTAATAGCTTTAAGTTCTTCAGTATTTTTATAGGACACTGATTTTTCTCGACTCCTCTTTTGTTTACTTACACTATTACGTATGTTATAGTAAAATGTATTGAAAAATAAATGGACGTGTAAGTGGACAAAAAGGGAGTGGAAAAATCAGCTTTCTTTTTAATTTTAAAGAAATTACTGATCTCGATCCTGAGCAAAATCATATTCTTCACTGTTGATAATCTGGTCTCAATAGTAATATTTTTGCACTACGAAGAAATCAAGAATGTCAAAATGTTCTTAATCAAAAATTTGGGTCTAGACGAAAAATCATGACAAATGTGATCAACCGAGTTATAATAATACCCCACAGGGAAATTACAATCTGCATTGATTTTGAATGCGTTACTAACAATTTTTCTTTTGAGCTCGATCCATGGATTGAAGTCCAAGCTATACAATTACAAGAAGAATGTTGGTAGAAACTCAATTGTTAGGTTAGTCCGGAAGTTGGGAAAAAATCAGTTGTTAGGTAAGTTGGAAAATCAGTTGTCTGCATAAGCCCGAACCAAAGCCAATGGCATCCCTCGATTGGTACCAAATATATAAAAAAAATTGAGAGAATCCACATGCAGTGAAAAGGAGTTCATCCACAACACAACAGTTACACGGACTCTTATTCAAACAGAGACCTGTCTTGAGGAAAGCAATAAAACCAAACAACACTTTAGCAGCAACACTGAATTCCAACTGCAACAGAAACCTCCAAGTGATTATGCAACTGCAACAAGGAAAGAAAACCAATGAGCATCATTCATCCCATAACATATCAAACACAACTTGAGATCTCAAACACTAATATTTTCAAGGTTGGGAAAGCCTGAAGAAATCACATTACAGTGATTAGAACGCAAATGCAAGGAAATGTAATCTTCTACTCTCTTTTACATAATGTATATAGTGCATAAAAATGATTATAATGCAAACGAAACCGACAGTTTCTCGAATTATGCAAAAAACAGTTAGGGAAAATGGTGGTTCCTAACCTATGGTGGAAAGTTTCCATCCAAAAGAACCAGATCCTTAACTAGGAGAAGGGTCATATCAATAAAAAATAAGATTTTTGAAATGGGAAAATTTAGAACCAACAACAACAAAACAATCATATAGCGCATGCTTCAATGACAAGTGCAATGCCAAAATGCACTCTCCTAAGCACAAGCTTTTGAGCATTTAGCATTGCCTTTGGATGAAGAAACCTCCAAAGACAAAATTGGGCTAAATTCTCTCAGAGGCCACAACAACATTCCAAAGAGCTTCAACACAATCCCAATCATGAAATAGAAACCCACAAGGTCCTTGAAACTGTCAAAGAAACAAACCTTATATGCACTCATTTAGTTCTGGAGGTGACAGGGTCAGTGCTGTGTTGAAGGAGATCATCGTAGGGGTCCCTCCGGCCAGCAACCTGGCTAATTTGGGCATCCCAACGAAGCTGCGAATTGTGGCGCTCGAAAGTCCAAAAGCCATAGGGACGGAGAGGTAGGGCCCACATCTCCTTGGTCTTGTTGCACTGGTCCTTCACTGCATACACGTGCTCTCTGAATTTCCTATCCCTCTCCTTAGGGTCCTCCATTAGCTTCAGTATCAGATTCTCAGCAAACTCCATTACAAAACCCATCTTCTCACTCTCCCTGAAAAACGTTAACCTAAAAAAACTTAGCTCTGCTCAGTGTTTCCACAAACCCTAATTTTATACAATTTAAACTATTCGCAGGAAAGCCGATTCAGCTATTAGATTCTATTAGGGTTCTGGTACTTTCTTTTCTTCTCTAACATTTTCTAGGCAACCAAACTGATCGAAAACTCGCGAAATGGAAATTTCCAGATGTGTACCGTAAGAAACTGATTCAGAAACCGATCTAAGCTGTGATTAAACTAAATAAAATGAAATTCAAGCAAAAATTATAACAGAATTGAAGATAAGAATCGATTGGGGAGCTTACCTGGTGCTTGATTTACAAATTTCCTACGCAGCTCACTCACCGTGTTTGGCAACGATTTTTGGGGGGTCAAATCAAAGCAGCAGAAATAAAACTTTTTCTTTTTTCCTTTTAGACTATTTTATTTACGGGTTGTATTTTCTTGGGCCAAGGCTTACCCGCGTCTTTTTATTTTTCTTCGGGCCGATGCGAAAACTTCAATTGGCCCAAGAACTTTGGGTGAATTTAGAATTTGAACATAGTATCCATGTATTTTTGTGATTTATTTTCTTCTTTAATCAGCAAGAAGCCATCATCCGATCTTAAATTGAAAACTTGTTAATCTTCTTTAAGACTGACAACCTAATCAACTAATATCTCTTTCTTTTGCACTACAAGTGTTAGAGCTCAAATTATGAACCCTTTTCTTTCTTTCTTTTTTACCGGTACAAACAGAGAGTGAAAGTAAAATTCTTGGCATAAGTGAGTAAGTAAATTTACTATTGAAATCATCCGTCACATAGCGATTGTTATAATACTCACCAATGATTACATTGTCCACAGCTTAGTGATTAAGGTAAGATCGGTCCACAGCTTATGATTTTCTTTTATTTCTTTTGGTATAGTTGATACAGCTGGCCATTCCCATTTCTAACCAAACACATTCAAGAATTTGAGCAGAGCTTCCCAGACTATACCCACAAGTTTTTAGCTACCACCCCACCGCTACAATAAAAGAAGCACTGATTTAGCCAACAAGAAGCCCTCAAAAACAGTGTCCGTTTTTGCTTATTTAGGTAGTCGAAACTCAAAAAGAGGAGTTCAGTTCGAGTAGGCAGAAGGGCATTGAATGAGCATCATCTTTTGAAGAAACTGTTAGCCTTTGCATCAGAAAACTTCCATGTCAAATGGCCAAAAAAAGCATACAATTAACTCCAACCAACAAAAATAAATTTGAAGTTCTTAACAACATATCAAAGAGAAGCAAACAGCAACAGCAAAAACAGAGTGACGTTCATGTATCATCCAGTTGAGACAAATATACTTTCAAGGCTGACATCCACTACATACATGGAAATAAAAGTTTCAGTTACATCACACTTTGTTTTCTTTTTCTTTTTCTTTTGTTTTTTTGTTTTTGGCTTTTAAATTTCCAATGCTCCTAAGAGTGGTAATAAGATTCTATATATTCAAATAAGATCTGTTTCGTCTTTGGAAACTCTCAGACAATCAGACAAAAGGGTTTTGAGAGCAGTGAACGTCAATTTGTACTCGCCTTTAGACCAAAATTCAGACTTTGCAAAGCAGCAAAGCTGGGTCACCTGCTCAGCTCTGTAGTCTGCACCCTTTGGTTTTTCACCTGCTATTCTTAAAAACCTAGCAAACACTTAACTTTGCCATGTGACCATGACTTACAATTAAAGGTTTTATATCTGCAATCTAATTGCTTGATATAAATTTGAAACCCATCTGATTTCAACAAGGGCTTGGAGTTGGACCACCCACTCAATATCAAAGGTTTTATTTTGGCCTAAAGAAAAAGGAAAAAAGACGACCTTGATTAGGTCAGTTGGCCAAAATAGTGTGTATACCGCACTCAAGTTTGATCATTTTTCCGTACATTAGAGTAGTTAAAAATATTGCATTGTAAAAAGAAAGAAGGAAAAAGATGCATACCAAGTGCGCTCCCACAAGGAGGAGTTGATGCTGTTTTAATTTTTCCCCCACTTGAATTGGTTTTGTGAACCCAAATGACTCACACCAAAAACAGCCATACACCCACCACTAGCAAATTGCATATCGTTTTCCCCACTGCCACTAACTTCAATTCCCCTTTCCTTTTTCATTTGGATTTTTTAAATTTAAAATTCGTTTCTTTTTTAACTTTTTTCTTTATTGTTCTTGGTCAATCACTTAAATGTTTCTGACTCCTTTTGACCACCTAAAAGCAAGTGAAAAAGCCAAAGCAGGACAGCAGAAGAAGAAGGCGATAATTAAACTTTGCTCATTTGGTGTCTGCCTCACAAGCACAACAACACCTTGCTCATTGGCATTGCTGCTTCCTCTCTCTCTCTCTCTCTCTCTCTCTCTCTTTCTTCCTTTCTTTTGTTTTTTTTTTGGTCTGAATCTCTTTCTTCCTTTCATGCACTCATGCAAAGTAATTACTCCATGAGCTGTAAATCCGAATTTCGAATCTAATTTTCCTTTCTTTTGCATCCAAGATAACACACCATAACTTTACCCCAAAGTTAACCCAATTTCTCAGATTTACATTTGCATCCAAATACAAATAACATTTTTGAAATGGGAAAGTTTAGCTATGGTAGCTTCGGTGTGTCATGCATCCAAATCAAATATTTTTGGAAAATTTTTAAACCTTGGAAATTTCCCATTCCCAAGACCCAGCGACCAAACTCACAACTACCAAAATTACAGTTGAGCAATTTTTGTAAAAACAAATGTAACCCCAGAAGAACAAGAGAAGAAAGAACATTTGAATTTTCATGAATTTTGGATATTTGTTTAACCGAAATTAAGGCTAGAGTTGCTCTATAGTACCCCAAAAAAAGAACGAGAAAAAGGAAAAAAAATCACAGGAAAAAGAAAAAAGCCCCTTGCTTCCCCTCAAAGATCCCCCTCTGTACAACAAAGGGTGAACAAAATTTCCAACGGCCATAATTAACTTGACATATATATTTCCACAAAAACGGCCTCGTTCCCTTTTTCCTTTTTTCCGCTTGGTCTTAATTCACATTTTCCTGCCGTTACCGTTACCGTTATCGTTACGGTCGTCGATTTTTTTTTTCTTTTTTTTAACTCTCAGCCATTTCGTCATCACCCCCATTGACAGGTCCGTCGTCAGCACCATCACCCTCCTCATCCACCCACCTCTCCACGGCGGCGCACTCAGCCTTGTGGCGCAGCTTCCAATCCAGCGCCTGACAGGCACGTGAGCAGTAGTTCACGGCCCCACACACCGAACACCGACGAAACTCGTGCCTCCTAGTCTCCGGCCTCCCACACCCCACGTGCGAGCAAAGCCTCAAACCCGGTCCAGGCGAACCGTCCCGAGCAGCGAACCACTCTCCCAAAAACCGGTTCGCCGGGTGCACCTCCGGAGCGGGCACGTTGCACCCAAAGTCGCTAAGCAGCGGGCAGCCCGACCCGGTCAGGTGCCCCAGCTGAGGATGAGGGTGAGGATGTGGGTGCGGGAGTGGGGTCCACGTCAGCAGCTGCCGCATGGGCACTCCCGAGGCTGCCGCGGACGACAAAACCGCTGCCAGCTCACGCGCGTTGGCCTGGACCAGAAACCGTCTCCCTTCCGTTATGTTCTGACGGACTCCGTAACCGTCCTGCAGGCAGTGGCCGAGCTCGCGCAGCGCGTCGATGTGTCCAAGAAACGCTGCACGCGCGCACAACGCTACCCCAGCCCGGAGGTCCTTGTCGTTTTTGGAGCCGCCGCTGCCGTTGAACTGAATGACAGCGAGCGGGTAGAGTGCCGGCGCGTGAGAGCCAATCGCCGCCTTGGCCATGAGCGAGGCTCCGCTCCCTCGGTTTTGCAAACAATAGAAGCGAATCTGCAGAGATGAGGAATATTAATAAATTAATAACAAATAATAATGTGAAGGAATGTTCATAAAACTAGATTTAATTAAAATTAATGAGAATTTTTTTGGTGGGGTGTTTCTGAGAGTGAACTGACCATGCCGAGAGTGTAGCAGGCCTCGACGTTGCCGGCATCGGCGCAGAGCTTTAAGAATCGGTGAGCCGACTCGGACCAATTCTTGGCTTTGAGGACGAACGTCTTCGGTGAAGCTTTGGAGACCACCAGAGAATGGAGAGCTAAACCGTTTAATCTCTTGCATCTGTTGACAACAATTCACACCATCCAATCCAATTATCAGTTACTTCCGTTAGATTTTTTGAAAAAGAAAAAAAGAAAAAAAGAAATTAAAAGACACACTCCACACCACACACCACGTATCTCTAACCTCCCAACTGAAAAATAATTTCCTCCAAATACAAAACAAAAAGGAAATTAGGAAAATTCCAGGATTGAAAACATACGTTATCGAGGCGCTGATGAAATCGGAAGCGGAATTGGCGGTGGAGCTGAGTTTGGAGAGAATTAGAATGAGGAGGTCGTCGGGTAAAGAGTCGAACAAATCGACCGACGCCGTCGACGAAGAGGAGGAGGAGGAGGCGCGTTCTCCGCCGGTAGTTGTCTCCGGCGAGATTTTATTCCGTTTCCGACAGACACAGCGTTCTCCGGCGAAGTCCTTCTTCCTCTTCTTCTGAAAGCACACATCTCCTGCTCCTCCGACTCTAGGATAGCAAACCCCACCCCTTGTTCTCATGTTTATGGCTTAGAGAGAGATTACAAAATGGAGAAAGCCAAGTGAGGGCCTTATATACGAAAAGCCAAGAACAAAACCAAAAGCAGCAACGACACACAGCCGAATGCGCTCTCTCTCTCTCTCTCTCTCTCTCTCTCCTCTTTCCTTTCTTAACAAATAAATATAAATATATTTGAAGCGACTACTAAAACACACATTTAATAAACATAACGTCCCTATTCACAACTTCGGCCCCTGGAGTTGTTCGTATTTACGGTCAAACGGAGTTGACCCAGATCCGTTCGTCTGTCTCTCGTCGGTTTGTTTTGGCTTTTCACTCTCCCCTGTACTTAAAGAAAATAAATGAATAAATAAATTTAAAGAGAGGGAGAGAGAAAGAAATAAAAATCCTTCTCCCTTGTCTGCACGCTTTTGAAGTTTGAACCCAAACCCAAACCCACCCCCACACACACACACTCTTTTTCTTTTTTCTTTTTTCAGAAATAAAAATTTATTTATAAGAGAAGAAGAAGATGAAGATGATGAGAGAGAGGGAGAGAGCGAGAGTCTTTTTCCCCTGTATCTGCTCTGATTCCTTTTTAAATGTTTGTTGTTGTTGGTACAGGTCAGGTGGCTGTCTTTTTTTTCACTCTTTTTCTCTTCTTTCTTCCCCTAAAAATATATCTCAATAATTTTATCTCTAATTCGTGTCCAAGGCAGTTACTTTTGTTACCGGTAAAAAACCTAAACTTGGGGGTTACTCCCCTGTTATTTACAAATTTCACACACGGTAAAAACACATGAACTCGCGTGTCAATCCACTGGCGCACTTCGTCTGATGGAGCGTGGGTAATACGCGTTCGGTGTGAGGACGGGGAAATCGCTGTCTTTTTAACAAACTTCAGGTAGCAAAATCTGCGCACTCGTAGAAGACCCAGCCAAATGAAGGTCAAACGTATGAATCAGCACTTACACAGGTTCAGTTACTCTTCTTTGTTTTACTTGTCTTCTGCCCTTTTTCTTTTTTTGCAGGATTTATCTCTTTGTCTTTTTTTTTTCTTTTTTCTTTTTTTTGTTGACGTGTGTGTTTTTTTCTTTTTTTCCTCATTCTTGTTGGGATTATATCATATTTTAAATTTTTTTGCCAAGACAGACTTGCTGACATGGTGCTAAATTTTACACGGTGAATTTTGGGCGTTGGAATTATCCATTTGAACAAGACCCAAGGATTGTCGTATGTGAGTTTTACCACTCTTCAAGTTTAAACCAATTGTTTCTTTAACGTCTTATTAACTTTACTTTTCTTTTTATTTTTTTTATGGGTATAAAACTCAATTGTATACACATTTATATCATGCATATAAGGAATAAATATTACGAAATCTGAAATGGAATCGAATGCTTTAACAAAGCATGAAATCTTCATTATTTAGTAAAGTATCCCAACTTAATCGTTAAGATCAGATATTCAAATTAACCAGCCTCTATCTCTTAGACTACAGGGGTTCAAGAGATTGTGGTCACCTACCGTTGGATATTAATATAACAGTTCAAAAAAGTTTCTTAAAATGAGTGCAAGAGTGAGTGAACCGTTGAATTTACATCCAACGGTGAGTGACCACAAATCTCTTGGACATCTGTAGACTGTCAAATTAACGTACTTATAAAAGTTTCACCCCCAAAAAAATAATAATAATACATAATTAGGCCATAATTTATTTTCGTAATGTCCTTTGTATACCATGAAGATAAATGACTAGTAAATATAATTGTAGATGAGAAATTACAGGTAATTGATCTACAAATTGGATCCATTATTTCTTTTTATTTTCAAGATGATTTTTTTAAACTATTTTGGGTCAGCCTGTAAAATTGTAGCCAGACAAGTAAAGGTGTGAATAGAAGGAAATCTTTGATCGCAAGCTACGTAACAGTAACGGCGCCGTAAAACTGTGAAAAAGCTAAACCCTTACGGCAACAATCAGAGACACGGATCCCTGTTCCTCCGTGAACAGAAGCCATAGCCATAATGACAAGCAAAATTAACCCAACTCAATTGCTCTTTTCACGCTTTCACTTTTACCCTAGTTTTCACAACAATGTTACTTTGTCTTACCTTATTTTATTTATTTATTTGGGGTTTAAAATTGGAGTCGTAATTTTACTCAGTGGCTTATTATCATTAATTTTGTTTAATACATGCAATATTTCAAGGAGAGTTGACGAGAGGATATCATGTCCAAAATAATACTTTAAACCACTTACGCGACAAATTCCTTACTTTGTTTAGTGATTTATAGTCGTAAAGAAAGCAATAATCACGTAACACGTAACTTAATTAGATAAATAAAGCCAGCTTTGGCAACTTGTTAATTATCAGCAGGCAGGCAGGCAGGCAGGCAGGCAGGCAGGCGGGCTGCTAAGAGTGTGGTGTGGTGTAGTTCTCGTTTCCAAAGTTAAAAATTTGGCACTCTCTTTTGGACATTTAGGTTTTGACCAAATCATTAGACGCCCTCACCTTAAAAACTGATTAAAACCCCCTGAACTTAATCATAACTCTTTAGAAAAAACCACTATGGAAAGAATCTTGAGAAGAAACGGAGATTTGTGGTCAGCACAAGGAACGTAGAAACGTCTAGATCAAAACAGAAAAAAATAAAACGTAAGAACCTCGGCAAGGTCCCCCATTGCTGTTTCATCGCACTATAATTAAGTATTAATTATTTCTCTTAATCTCGATTAGTGACGTTGATAAGTAGTTTTCTCAGCTTTGCCCCAGTTTTAATTCGTATCAATTAAGTTATTAAAATAATGGGAGAACATGAATCATGCCCTAATTGAATTTTATCAAATCTTTTTTTATTTTATAATTAACTAGGTTGATTTTTACTCTATCAAAAAGGACCAACTTTTTAATTTTAATTTTTTTTAAGAAATGAAAATGAAAATGCGAGAAAGTCTTGGCAGGCGTGACATTTTCCTGAAGTTGACTCCTCAAACAGGCAATAGTTTGTAGCAATTAATACAAAATAAATAGGATCTGTAGTTGTAGTTTTAAGACTTCGTATGTGGCGTGATGGTGTAAAAAAAACTTATTTGTAATGGAAATATCATTGTTTTGCTATTTCCGTTGTAAGACTCCCGTTGAATAAGAGTTTCTCTCATTGTGTTTGTGATGGCACCAATAAACCTTTCTTTCTAGATTTCTAAACGAGAGCGGGTGTCCGTCTAATCTTAATTAATAAACTTCTAATGACAGATTCACAGGAAGAAGAATGGCAGTTTAAGCAAAGAGGGGTTATCATGCAACTAATTAAAAATTTTAAAGGTCGATTAAGTTGGGAAATGACGTGGATCTCAAGAAGTGATGTCGACCACTCATGTCATGCTACGGGGCCCACGTGTCTCTCCTTTCCTGCCCTAGCTAGGTGGGACGTGGGGCCCTATCTATAAAGCATAGTGAGGGGGAGGGGGAGGGGGAGGGGAGTGGGGTCCGTACATCGTAGGGACAAAGAATGGGCCGTGTTGTTGTTGCCAACCTCCTCTGCTCCTGCTCTTCCTTCCTAAGCCATCATCCATCATCCATCATCCATCATGTCAAAATGGCACCCGCGATCAACGAAGCCGATTTGGTTCCAAAAAGACCAAAAATATATGCGTGTGGTTAGGTTAACTTGGAATATTGGTCAAGACTCAAAGACCAATTGAGTTCAATTTATCCATCTTTAGTCTTACACTCTATGCCCCACATGTAAGTTCCCATCTATATCCAACTATAGAGCTACATATGTCGATCAAAAGTAGAAATAAAAAAACTACATGAAATGGAATGATTAAAGAAACCGAGTGACTTTTACTTATTATCCTCTCTCTCTCTCTCTCTCTCTCTCTCTCTCTCTCTCTCTCTGCTCTTTCACTTTCCCCAATTATTGCGTGAATTCGGATCCATAATTATCCCCTCTTATTTTCTCAAATATATATAAATTGATTCTCATTCCGGCAAGCCCTTAGGAGTTTAATAACTTAAGAGAGCAACCCAATTTGGCTGGGAGTGTTTAGGGTTTTATAATTTGTGATTAATATTACACCTTAAAGTGCAGTTACCTCTCCTTAGTTATAATGAAAGTTGGCATTAATTTGGAGCACCCACTTGATCATAAGGATTTAATTTCATTGGTGTTACGATTACGTAAGTGCTTCAAATTGGTGAGAGCAGCCTCAGAAGTTGTTACCGAATAATTTGTCCTAAGTTTCAACTCAAGGTTGTGACCAATAAATTATAAAAGTGGATCAATCGGGCAGTGTTGTTAAAACGTAATAACAAAAAATCTAGAACTACGGGAGTAAATAACAATATTTTTCCTTGGAGGAGATTGGGTTGAGGCTCATGTATTATAAAAATCAGTAGGAGAGAGGAATAGACGACTTAAACAACAGAAAACATCCAAAACAAACAAACAATTAGCGACTATTCTCCCACTAGATTATTTGAATTCAAAATTCCAAGACATCCAATCCGAGATAATTATACAATTCTATCTAGGCCAGCATGGTGTTTTTTAATATCTGTGGATTTGTATAAAATATTAATTCCAGGGAAATTAATGAGTTTGTAGTTGGCCGGCTTGATAGATAGGATTATTAGCAAAATGATTTGACGTTAATTATTGGAGTTTAGTTAATAGTTATGTGGGCGGGCAGGCAGTAATGTGTTTTAGTGGTTGACCAAGTTGTAGGCTTGTAGCCCTGTAGATGATAAGCATGACCTCCAAATTTATGTTGGGAATGGGATTAGTTGGTTCCTTAACTTACAAGAAGGGGAGTTGTAGTACGCTAAATTATTTAACTCCATAAAAATTCAATGTCTTCAACTTGAAGGAGTCAAAGACACGAGCCACTTGTGTTTCCAATTTTTCTCGTGGAGTCCTTTTCTGTGAGTCCTTAAACAAGATTTAGCTGCGGATTTTGTTCTTGTTTTTTGTCTCTTCGATGGGATAGCTCAGGACCTTGTTCGATGATTTCTCCAATTATTTTCCATCTCGTATCTTACTTTGCCACCTCTCTCCCCCTCTCTCTCTCATACATAATTGGCAAGTGTTAGATTGCTAATCAATCATTTTAAATGAAGAAGCGGCTTGACTAACAGAGTTTTCTAGACTTATTTATTTAGAGAAATAGTGAGTCGGATTTTACAAGGCATTTCAGCTTTACCTTTACCATTTGCTAACCCTTTTGTTAGGAGAGGTTTTAGTCATTGTTTAACTAAACAAAATCACAAAGTACCCTTTAATTGAAAAGTAAGACAAATTAAATTTGAGAATATAAAAAGTTATCACGCCAAAAAGCTAACGCAACTTATACGAGCTTATAAAGAGTCGAGTTGCTCTCTTACCAGTCAAAATGTCTACAATACTAATTAAACAGGCCACCAAT